AGCAGTAGTGTATTGGACTGTCAGTCCGGCTGCTCAGGTGCAACAAGGTTGTTTTATACAAAACATGATTTGTGTTTGTGACATACAAAGATCCCAGGGACGATGACAGGGCAAGCTTTATAGCTCTTGCAATGTCTGATGGCATTACAACAGGACTAGCTACTTTCCACTCCTCAACCTATTGATCTATTTATTTACACTGTCCAGGCCAACTGTTTTAGAAAGTCTATGAAATGTGTTCTTCCTCTAAATGCAGAAGCCAATTCAACTCTAATTCTTTAAAGTAGTGTCTAGACTAAACCTCTTAGTGATGTAAAAGACTGCTTGAAGTTCACAAAGAATTAATTTCTTGGTTTTGCTTGTAAAATATGCATTGATGAGGTGCTCAGATGCTCAGTAAAAAGACAAAATGTTATTAAAAAAAGGGACTTACACGTTCTCCTTTGGGTCCTCTGTCCCCTGGTCTCCCCACAGCACCCTGAAAAAGAGTTTTTGAAAAAAGATAAATGTATAAATTAAAGGTTTTTAGTATGTTCGTCTGTTAGCAGAACTGAAAGCAACTGCTGGGATTAACAGCTATGGTATCCATTAAGAATAAAATTCACTACTATGCAAAAGAATGTTTTCCTACCGGAGGACCTGGCAATCCATCTTTTCCATTGAGTCCCTATTAAAAACAAACAAACAACAATTTTTAATCAATATGCTTATGTATATGCATTTTAAAAATATGAAAGGCAAAGCTATCTGTTTGGTGATGGTATCAGTACAAGTTTTGAAGCTACAGAGGCAGCAGTTTGTGTAGCTGCAATATAGAAATAGTCTCGAGATGTGAAATAACAGAGCTCAGGGTGATGCTGAAGTGCAAGCACATTGAATTGGAGCTGAGAGCAGATAAAATAATTACAAGTCTTCAGCATCAAGATGTGCACCAGCTTTAACGAGCACACAACTTTAAATGACATATGGAAAATCTGCAAATGTGGAATATGGACCTATATACACACTCTTTTCCACTTCCAGCTAATCATTATACATCCATAGAAGAGACTTTTCTTATTCTAGATGTTAGCCTTGATGTGCTGTTACTCTTCTGCTCTTACAGATTATGCCTTAACAGCAAATGGCCAGATCCATTCTTCAGTCCTTAAGAGCTGTGGCACAGCACAGCTTCAGCCTCCTGGGCTAAATATAGAATCATAGTATCATAGAATGGTTAGGGTTGGAAAGGAACTTCCTTCTCAAAAAAGAGGGTGTTCTCATTTCCTTCTGGAAACAGCCCCAGGCACACCTTGTCCCCTAAACTGGCATTATCTGAGAGTCCTAGTTGGCATGAGCCAAAATAGTGTCAGAGAGTATGTTAACAATAGCAAAATGCCAGAAAATTGCAAGATAAATGCTCTGGCACTGTTTAATTTACTAGGATATACGCAGATCTGCATATGCAGCAAATTCACTGCTATTTCACTGAGTGCGAAAGAAGGACTGGCATGAGCAACGACATCAGGAATATTTCCTTCCCCCTCATACTGCAAAGTGGAGTTTTGCAAAGATTAGGCACCTAGGGCCTATTAGCTGCTGAAGTTACAGAAAGGGTCTCTTCTTTCAAGACAGAAGCATGATGTGGAGATGTGCTGACAAACTGAAATGGTCTGCTTTTCATACTTGTCCCCCACAAACCAAGCTTTGGGGGAGATAATGAGTTGTGCACTATCCTAGCCAAACCCCTTCTAGAATATAAACTAGGTTGTTTTAAACCAGCTCAGACAGTGCTGGCTACACTGCTGTCACGCTTTTATTAAATAAAGAGGTCAGACAGACATATCCTAAGTGAACAGTAAATGCTTCAGCTGCAGTGTCGCATCACTTGTATACAGAAGAGTTACAAAGTTTATTCAGAGTAATGAAGCACACACTTCTCTGTCTGAACTGAAACCAAGAACTTCATTTGTCACCCCATCCTTCATCCGCCCTTCACAGACTGAGTGTCTGGGTTAATTTCTTCTTCTGAAAAAATACAAGAGGAGCCTTTAAGTCAAGAGGATCCAAAGGACCCTCATAAGACCTTTAAAGGCAACTTCTCAGTAAAATTAAGCACTGAAACATCACAGGACTAGGAATTCTTGACTGGCTGGTTAATATTGAGCACTGTAGCTCTAAGTGTTCTTCAGACGTTACCTAGCTTAACACAAAGCAGGGTGTAATCTCATTTCTTTTGTAACTTGTAATAAACTAAGATGCATTCTTTTGTAATCAACATACATATTCAATATAAAATTGCTTACTGGTTTTCCTTGTGGTCCTTCTGGCCCAGGGAAGCCTGTATCTCCTATAGGGCCCCTTTCACCCTAAGAAAGAAGAAAACACACCTAGAAATCTGCATGTAAAATCTTGCATTCAGTGTTTGAAGTATTTGTGTATTATCATAAGAGTTCAGAACTCAAATCTGTACTTACAGGTTCCCCTGGCATCCCTGGGGACCCAGGAGATCCCGGCTTTCCCTGCAAAAAGAGAACATTAAAAATTCAAATTACTTAGAAGCAAAACATAATTTCTTTTAGGTCAAAAATAAGAGGATACATATTTGAGTAAAATTGTCACGTTACTGTTCATTACATGCTTTAAGAGAGGGAACAGAAATATTTTACCAGATATTTTAATATTTGTGCCATGTTAATCTGGCTGTTATGTAAAATTTAACTCAATCGCTTGGTCTTCTTTACTTCCTGAATACTGAGATTGTGTTTTCATGAAACTTTCTTTTGCAACACCTTGATTTCTTTCTTGAGAAGTCATAATCAGATCAAGATTTGATCTGATATCAAGATATATATAATATCAAGATTTTTATGATATCAAGATCTTTTCTTGAATATATTTTCTTGTATATATGATATCAAGATTTTTTCCTTCAGCTACTTCCTAGTCCCTTTTTTTTTTAAAGAGCAGATTCTTGTAGAATTTCAATCCCAAGCTTCCCTGATAATCCCATTCAGCAAAAAGCCCAAAGCTAAAATGAGAAGTTTATATTCCCAAATGGGAAAAACAGTCCACTACTTAATCTAGGAAATAATGGCAGACAAGGAAGACAAATTCTCTTCCATAAGATACACGGATATATTTCAAAAACTCTTCCTAGACTACTAAAAAATATTGTGACTTATATGTCTATTAATTTGTTAATTAAAACTGCTTAGCATAAAATGTTAAAGCAAATAATTTATTTCAGTGGATTTTATTAGAATTAAATGTAATCAACAGCATGCAACTCCATCAGAGATGAAGGGAACTCATTAAATTTTTTATATCCAGCTAGGATAGAGGGCAACAAGACTAAGTCTTGTAACATATCCAGTGGGAAATACACGGAGAATGAACAATTGTGATCATCCTAACCCGCTACTGCATAATTGATTCACAGCATGAAATATATATTTCAGAGCAACAAACTTTGAAACTTACATGGACTATAAAACTCGGAGAAATACTTCTCTTTTCCCCTTATATGTTCCATTTTACCTTGTTTAAGGAGAACTTAACTAAGTCAAGATGTTTAAACTGATGTTTTTTCTTGGAACTCACAGTAAATAGACTAAATCAGTGGCTAATGGAAATGGGAGTGCATAGACTCTGTTTATCTCACAAAGCACATTTATAATTTAAAACCAGCTCCTGAATGGATTGGTAGCTGCCCAAATTTAATAATAAATGTATTTGCATATAAATAACTCCATATTGCCTCCTGAAATATGGATACAGTTTTTTATTAAACTGTGAATGCAATCTAAAGAAAAGTTGTCTTCATTTCCTTTAGGAACACAAATGAGTAATTATAATTTCAATTTATCATTAGTTACATTTACTTTCACCTACAGCAAAGTTTCTGGATGACTTTCATAAACTTCTCTGAATACCTCATGTAAATAGCTGACAAAGCATTCCCCTAAAGCAAATGTTAGATCTACTTGATATGCAGATCCTTGCGGATTGCAATAACTAATGCTCTTAATATTTCTTTGTGACAGAAGGATGCTCAGAAATTTGTGCATGCTCAGGAACACAGAAAGTGTCTTTAACTATATTAAACTGAGGCAATAAGAAGCTCGTATGCTTTCTTAAGTCAGCATATGCAGCTTCAAATTCCAGCTTTATCATGTATTCACACCATTCCCACCTGTCATTTCAATAATAATATGAACCCTTAGTGGTATTAAAACTCTAATCTCTTTAGAAAAAACACATCATATTCATACGTGCCTATAAAGAATTAGCCAAGCGCTGGTGTTCCACAAATTGTGATTGAGATTACAGCTCAGCACCTTGCTTGACCTGTTTTTTAGCAAACTGAATTTTCTTTAATGAATATACATACCGGTGTCCCTGCTAGTCCTGGTGTGCCAGCTGGTCCCCGGTCACCCTGAAGAAAAGATAAATCTATACATAAATGGTAATGCTTAAACCAGAAGTTTGTTTGTGGATTCCCATTAAAACCTGAGGAAGAATTATTCAGTAAATTGTAAATGAGGACAAGAGCCAGGCTCTGCTAAATGCTAATATTTAGCTGTGCCACCATCTCATTTTACAGACTTGAGCAAGTAACATAAATCATTTGTTTAGGTTCTCTTGTATAATGTCATAATTTCGATGCTATCCCTTATATTCTGCTTGAGGCCTTCCTTGAAAATGGACGGAAAGTCCCTGACTTATCTGTAGTTTCCCAAATAATAATCATTTGTGGTCATCACAATGTCCAAAATTCACTATCATATCAACATCCCCATATTTAAGATGTATCTTTCAATGAAGTTTTTGCCTCTCAGCTACCCAGTCCTCCATTTCCTGCAAGTTGACATCCTTGAGTTGTTTGTGTCATGGTCCTTTCTGGCAAAGTTCCTCCTTTTAGCATACAACTACCTTCATGTATGCTTTAAGCCAAGACAATGGCTTTTGTGCTGGAGCTGATGAGTTATGGGCACAAATTCATATTTATCTCTTGAGAAACAATAACCCAAAGCAGACAGATGTTGCTCACCAGTGGTAAAACTACACACTGAGCCTTTTTTTTAAAGGTTGGACCAGAAGATCCTTGAGGTCCCTTCCAACCTGTTATTTTATGATTCTTATGATATGACTTGCCGTAACCTACTGCTGACATGTTTTGGTCTGTAACACCACACTCTACTAGTGAAACGTTGCTTAAAATTTAAGAAAAAATCATGCCCCTAGTTTCTATAATCATGTCAGGAAAGCCACACTGACAGGAGAATATTTTGTGAGATGAGTTTACGTTACCTGCAGCTGTTTTGCAAAAGCTCCACCGACCCACCTACATCCACAAAACCCATGTTCTGTTGTGCAGAAGAGCCCAAGGAGATATTGGGATTTCTGGTTTCTGTTCTTATACCTAATGCTGATGTGTCTCATTCTCACAATTTTGTTCAGGTAGTGCAATAATAATGCTGGTAATTGGAAACACTTCATTACACAAAGCGTAGACAGATGGTAAGTTAAATGTCTGATCTTGTGTCCGAGGGAGGGGCAGAAGCTTGCTTATAAGCCACAGTTCAACCTCTCTTGCTCTGTAGGCTAACAGAAATCACTTAATGCAAGTTCACCCCTCAGTGAGGAACACAACATGCACCTCAGAAACACCTGAGCATGGAGTTTGTGCAGCAGGGTATATCGGCTGGAGCACTGCACTCTATCCCTGTGGTTATTTTGGACCCAGAATTTGTATTGTGGTGCTTTCCCTATATGCTGGCTATGACAGTGAAGCTAGAAGTTCCTAACACTTCCCTTGCAAAGAGTTATTTAGGTCCTTTCAGCAATGTGATTTGCAGCATGGTTGCACAAACCACTGTGACAGCATAGCTGAGGGAAGTGAAATTTTACCCCAAGGACACGAAGTTCTTAGGCCAGTTCACGAAATTATCATGAAATTACAGCCAGCACTGCCTGTGGAAGCTGGTACACAGAGGTACCTAATAAATAGCTCCAAATTAAAAACCAGCATGCACTATAATGCTGGGACTGGCAAGCAGACCCTGCGCTTCCATTCATTTATTTGCACCAGAAATGTGGGATTTTGACCACATTTAGCTAAAGAAAGGATATTCTTACTTTGGGAAAGGGCCAAACACTCATTCAGCTTGTTTATATAATCTGCTCCATTGGTTATTCTGTATTTAATTCTTGTCCCTGCTTTGTCTCAGTTAAACCTGTAATACCTCCCTGTGTTTGTTCATTTGAAATCAGACTAGTCTTTGATTGCTTGTAAATTGTAGTCTTCCGGAACAAGAATCATCTCACGTAATACAAACATCTAGTATAGACACTACCTTAGATCTTTTTAATCCCCACTCTGAGCAAGTATGAGTAATGTACAGTGATTTTGAGAGAGAAAATTTTAATTTACATTGCTTTTTGGTGAAAAATAAGCTTCAGTAAGCTATTTTTATATGAATCATTGAATAACGCATAATTCAAAAAGCTGAATATTCAATTTAAAAAAATCTACTCTTTTTTCTAAAATTTTTAATATATGGGCAAAGTCAAACTGTTTTCACCAACAGAAAACATATTTACAGATTTTTTCATTTCTCCACTGAATTTTTTGTACTTTGCCATATTTAGAAATGAATAGCAAAATTTTGAATTTTTTACCGTTCCATGACAAGCTTTTCTCTAAATTCGTATCAGCCTCCACAATTAGTCCTGGAACACAGACTTCAACTACAGAATGAAGGTGGAGAATATGGCATGGTTCAGTGGCATCATACACAAAGTACAGAATGCAACAACAGCAAAAATAATACAAGGGGCCTTTTTTAGAATTATGAGCAACAGCCCATGAAAAAATTGTTGTGTTCACTTTGGAGCAGGATGCATACAACAAGAACTGTAAGGAATTATCTCTCCCTCCATTTCTACTCTTTTCTGTACTTTATACTCATCTGAACTTGTACTGACACTTACACTCTTAGAACAAGACAGATGGACTGCAAGCCTAAAATGATGCCTAGAGAACATGAACTAATGACCATACTTAGGAACATGTTAACTATGTTACTATGAAGTAATATAGTTATATATAGCATATACCATATATAATATAGTATACAGTAGCATTCTATCAAGTTAAGAAAACAATATTACAAGACCTCCTGCACACAATTTTCCATTTGTAGAAAGTGAAATTTTATGCTGGGTGAGTATATGATTTAAATCCACAGTAAAGCAAGAAAGGAAGTACAGATAAATATACAAGTGTTTTTTCATACTGAAACAGTAACTTACACCAAAAAAAATTCAAAAAACAAGGTTTCAGAAAACATTTAGATGCAGACAGTTGTCACTAAGAAGCCATGACTTCTTTTTAATAGTCTTACCTTTTCCCCTGGGAGTCCTTCCAGTCCTGGTAATCCCATCGGTCCTGGGTCTCCCTGATTATTATTTTTTTAATTAAAAAGATTGCATACATTAGAATTTCTGTATTCTATATGAGAAATGTTGAACAGCAAGCAACAGCAGACTTCCAGAAAAAATTATTTAACTTGACCTTAGTAAAACAGCTAACCAGTTACCAGGTGAACAGATTTTGTTACGCCCTGTTTTAGTGATCTGCAAATTAAGCTTTTCCCAGGGACATTGTGTGAATATTTGATTCAACAGCTTTAATTGTGATGAAGAATGTAATCCAGAAGACTCCCCCCAACAGTGTTCTTGCAAGCCAGGGTCAGCTCTAAAGCACCTCCAGGCAGTAGGGTCTGAACATGTAAGCATACGCTGTCAACCAGAGAACCAACCTCCAAGCAATTCTCTGCTCTGTTCCCCAGACAAAGCTTACTCTGTAGCAAGCGACACACAGACTGGGTCCCTGTGTAGGTCTTCTAAACTCTTCTGTGGCAAAAACATGCTCCAGGGGAGAAATCAGTATAACATGTAGATTGGGGAGGCTAGGAACTACAGTGACAAGCCACAAGCGAATGACAAATACAGTTTCTCTATTATAAAGCCAAGTTACACACACACATCAAGGACCTTGGGAAAAATGGACACCCAGTCAGGATTTGGATCGATACTCTGCTGACAGCTAACCCTAGGCAACTGCTCAAGATTCTTCCACTAGGTGTCCTTCCACCCCATAATTTTTAAAGAAAGATCATGCAAAAAGGACATAACACAATGCTTACAGGAAAAAAATATCAAAAAGTTAAATTAATCTGCTTTTGAATGCCAAAATGCATATCTGAAAGGTATAGGAGCTCCCATGATCACCATCTTGCTCACCAGAAGCAATGCGAGCATACTGTAGTTAACAGTCATGCCATTTACAAAGAAAACATTAACTTCTAGTTGTTAATGGCTAGCATGATGTAGCACACTGTCCTTTCTCCCTTATCACTTTCAAATTTAACGTTGAGAACAATCTAATAGCTATTACTATATTTTCTACTTTTATTTTACGTTCTTTATTCTTAGATATATCCAGGGACAGCTCAGCAGAGATGAATCCACAAGTAGTTAATACTATGTTCAATCATTCATTATATTATCACTTAGAACTTTGAAGCAGAAATTGCAAAATTCACAAGCCTGGAAATTAAATAGGCTTTTTCAGATGAACTGATTCTGCACGAGGTAAGTTACCTGCTAAACAGTATCAAGGGACTCTTCCACCCTTGTGACTACAATTGTGTTAAGTACTTGCTGAATTCTCTAACATGATCAAAAAAGATACATACCACTGTGCCAGGATCTCCTTTGGGACCCTGAAAATAAATGAAGTGGAAACACAAATAATAAAAAAAAGTTACACAGTAAGATGATATTCTTTGGTATTACCTATTAGAAATTACGTTTCTGTTAATACTTACAGGAGGTCCTGGTGGACCTGGATAACTAGCGACACTCACACCTCCCTGTAAGGCCAAGTTTGAAAGTTGAGTTGGGCCAAAATTAGGTGTTGATTGAAAAATAAAAATAATAAAGAGAAATACCTGGAGTTTATATAAGCTGCTCATTCCGTTTCTTTCATTGTAAGGCATACCCTTTAAAACATAAAAAACAAGTAAGCATCACAACTATGAATTATAAAGGCAGAACTCTTGCCTTGTTCGAGCCCTGTAGCTCAGCAAAGCTGTGGTATCATTTCTGTTCTCAATCAACTCTTCAAAGCTTCTAGAAATTTCAGCATGAACATAAGATACAATACCAATGTAGCTTGGGCCTTTTTTTTTAATTACAAAACAAGAAACCTGTAAACTCTGTGTACGTTACATTTTGATATTATTATAATTCTCCAGAACTGATTTTGTGTGAGGTACTACTCCAGTTAATTTGGAGTCCAGTGAGCTCCATGGACTTTCTCTAGGTTCCCTGAGTTCCCTGATTTCAGGCACCTAAGCTGTCTAAATTACTCTAGTTAACACTGAACATCAAGGTTAACTCATTTGACCAAGTGTCTAGGATGGCTTTAGTGAACTGCAATTATTCAGTGATGAATCAAAGAAAAAAGAAGAATACAGAAACCTTTTGCAAAAAGTCTTGTCTTCCTGCATTATTAATACATATTGGATTGACAGTCAATTCTTTGTATTACATTACACTTTACTCATAGGTGCATTGTTCCTAATATAACATTCAAATATAAACCAGAAAATATCTCACCGGAGGTCCAGGTGGTCCAGGTTGCCCAGGAGAACCTTCACTACCCTAATACAGCAAGAGATTCATGTAACACATTTACTGTAACATGTGTCCAGATCTACCCCATACCCAAGCTATAATGACCATAACGACAATAAACAAGAGATACAGTCAATATAAGCAGCTAGTATCGAGAATAAATCTTCCTGCCCAGCTCCTGCTTAAGCTTTAGAGAAGTTAGGATTCATTACTTTATAGTAGTTTTTTATTTTGTTAGTTACTTGGAGCTTCATGTATATTAACCTCCTTGTAGCAAAACAGCAGTGGTAACCTGGGTTGTGAAACATTTCATAAATACCAGGAGAAAGAAGAAGGGAAAAATTATCAATTTCTAAGCAACTGGTAGATAAAAGTCAACATAAATTTTACGCTTTGTCCATTATTTTGCAAAAGCCAAACTTCAGCTGATCATTCGTAGGTAAACACAAAAGAGCTAAAATTTCAGAAGTTCAGTTTATTTAGATCACACTGAATAAAAATCAAGATCTTTATTTAGATAAACAATTAATATATTTGGGTTTTTTTGATTTTAAAATATTCATCTGTGTATCTGCAGTCTGTTCTGCTGATGTGCACTGAATTACTTAAATTAAAAAAAAAAAAAAGGCTGCTGCATTTTTGCCCCAGCAGAATGGCGGAGTCTCTCAACAGGGCAGACTTGCAAAGGTTTCAACATAAACCAAATCTTTTCAAAGTCTCATCACTAAAATCCAGTTAAAAACAGTGTATAAGTGGAACAAATCTGCCAGAATTTTTCACTGACTTCACTGCATCTTATTAAACGTAAGCCAGTGAGATACTTCGGCTGCGTATTCAAAATTCTTAAGGTAGCAAAAGGCAAGCTAAATGTTCAATGTCAATAATTAGCTTACTGAAAAATAAACAGAAAAATATAACTGTAATTAAATGTCTATACAAAGATGACTTGCAAATGGTCCTGCTAACTGATAGAAGCTATCAGCCTCCATGTGATCTGGAGTACTTCATGGGGAATTAAAATATTATCATTTAGAAAGCATATTATATGATTTCTCAAGCATGTTTCTCAGATGAAGGAGGAGCAGGAAGTGATTGTGGCTGTATTTCAATTTACTTAATCACTCTTCAGCCATCTGACTTCTGCCCTTTTTGATTGATGAGATACTAGTTATGGAGCAGTGCTTCTCATTCCCACCTATGTGTGAACTGTAAAGAAACAACCAACTGGCTACACAAAAAGGAAATGCGTGGTAAATTTTTCTATTATGGCCTGCAAGGAGACAGCTTTCAATCAATTTCTATACTGAAATGGTATCAGAGCTTTACAAAATAGTTTACTTTCTTACTCGTACCAGAGTCAAGGTTTTGTAGAGTATTAGTAGGATCACATACCTTGATGTGACAGTGCTATGCCTGGAAAATTCCAGGCTGAAGTTGAAAAAAAACCAAACCAGAACAGTGTATTCATATGCAAAATGTAGAACTTGTGTCAGAAAATATTTTGCAACAAACTGTTTGTGTCTGCTGTATTTCACTGATCTGAGGTGCCCAAGAAATGAATTTGATCTCTTAGTTATAATTAATATCCAGTGTCTGATAAAAGAGCACATAAAACATTGACCAAAAGCAGTGCTATAGCAGTGTAAGTTAAGTACAAAGGAAGCTTATGTATTTTAGCAGAGTAAGATACTCAATAACTTTCAGTACTTGTGAAGCACTTTTGTGTAATTACTTTTGACTAAAATACTGGTAAAAGAAGAAGAGCGAGTAGTAACTAGTCACACACTATTTCACAAATGTATTTTCACTTTCCTAAATTTTATATAGTATGTCATACTTACAGCACATTCACTGCAACCTACATACACCACAAGGACTACACTTCAATATATAAGCCCATAGTACATTTTGGGGGGAAAGTACTTGTATTAGGACACAAAATTAATTTGAAAATATATGTCAAGTTCTTGTTTGCACTCTATGTTAAAAAAACCCAAAATATTGGAGCATAATGGGATTGCAGAACCTGCACAGATCTTTGCGAAGACTAAAAAGCAGGAATACCTTTTCGCCTTTTGACCCTGCTGGACCAGGATGTCCAGGTCTTCCTGTGACTCCCTGCATAACACAGTATTGGTTTATATTAGTTAAGAAACAATGAAACACAGTATTTTTGCATCAGAGCTTAGTTTTTAAATCTTGTACTTCTTGAGGGTCATTTAAATGTAATTAGGCCTCTCCTCCAGGCTGAAGTACTTTTCTTCTGTTCGACACCACAGCTCTGTCCTTCTGATCAGGTCTTTGAAGGATAAAACTTGTGTTTGCGGTTGCATTTTCACCTTTGCACACTAAGTGCACTGACCTTAACTGGCACCTCTTGATACTGCTAAGAATCATGCTTTACTGCTACAATGCCAATTTACATACCGCACGTTAAACTTCCTAAATGGGTTACAATTTTTAAAAGAAGGGAAGCATCAGTACCATCAGCAACCTAGAAATGAATAATCATCAGACTAACGTGGTCCCATCCACTATGTCAAAAATAAATTTAAAAACAAATTCCAAGAGGAGTTTTCCCAGAAATACCAACATTTTTAATTATATTTTTCAGTGACTTGAAATATTTCCAGCTTATTCTTATAGTTTTTTAATTCTGAAACCAAGTGGTTACTTGGTTTCAACATTAAATGTTTTCAGAATGCCTAGCTGGAATTATTTTTAGATTTTTATTACTAACAATATTACTGTAACTTGGTACAAATACATCATTAACTGCAAGTATGCACATCGTAAGTCATGTAACCTCACAGAGTCTCTAGTAATGCCAACACTCCAAACCCATTTAAGTTACATAAACTTTGAGCCCAGACAATGACAGTACTTTCAGTAACATCAACTCACAACATAGTTTCTTTTATTAGAACCATTATGGGCAAGATTGTATTATTACTATCCGAAAAGCCAAAAGACAGGACAAGGAACTAAGAATGTGAAGTTTTACTATATAGTTACAGCAGATCTCTGCAGAGATCGATTAGATCACAGGTGATATCACACACTTACAGAAGGTCCACTGGGTCCTGGTATGCCTGGCAGTCCAGGAGCACCTTGAAGGCCCTGGAAATTAAGAAAGCATATGAGTATTTCCTCTCTCACAACTTGAAAACTATTACATCTAGCATGTTTAGCAGTACTATAAAGTATATTCAAGCACATTTTTATCTAAAAGGTTGGCAGTATTTTTAGGAATGAAAAAAAATCAAACCCACCATGCAAAGAAGAGATTATCATTGAACAAGGCTAGAGGCAACTTCTTGCTTAACTGACAACACTTGTCCTTTCACATCGTTAGCTTATGTCCTCTATATCTTTTTGTCTTTAATTGTGCAGATAATAGCAGGACATCTGGCTTTTCCTTAGAGAATAATTTTCTATTTTCTATCACTAAAGGGTGCTTTTGTCTGGTGAGAAGACAAATACTCAGGTTTCTCAATTTTACCTTATGGTTATCTAAATGCAATGATGCTTTCTGCTTGATTTATAGCTTTTGCCTTTTTGATAACAGAATGTGACATTTTTCATAGTATTTAATGAACTACTTTCCTGATCTTATCGTATTAAACTGCCTGGAAATTGATGCACTGTGGTATCCACTTACTAAACACAGGTATGCAGCTTACTACAGTGGATACAGGTAGGATTTGAGACAAGCCTGCATGCGACTGAAGTCTTTCCTCTGCCACACCAGGCTTAGGTGCAATTTTAGACAGGTACAAGTCACGTGCTAATGAGAGCTAATCACTCTCAGTCCCCCCTATAAGCCACAAAGTGAAATTGGTCCCTTCCTAGCAGTGGTTCAATTTATCTGCAGAGTGCTTCTCCTCTGACAAGAGAAGTGACCTCAGAAAATGTCTTTTTCTCATATTAATGCAGTGTTTAAGAAGGCATGGCTAAAGGGGTAGTCTGGAAAACCACAGAGGACACAAGTCCTGGAATAACGGCTCTGAAGGAGAGACTGAAGGAAAAACTTCAGGCAGAAATAAATCAGGAAAGATGTAGAGATGGAGAGAGACATTAATTTCCCTTTCTTGTTGCTACACATAGAGGACATTGATCCAACTCTGCAGCTTTTCAGAGTGGCAATCCACCTGCTAATGTGTTCTCTGCTCATTTTGAATTACTTAACTCTGATGATACAGTCACCTGAAAAATGAGTATGAAGCCAAAGGAACATTTTCTGTAATTGTTACTACTGATGTTAGAAAAATTCTCCCCTGGAGAAAAGAGTATTTTAAAAAGGAAGAGAACTAAGTTTCAACAAAGATTAAAGGGCTATTCAAAAGCACATGGAAATTAATGACCGTATTTCAAAGAGCTTCAGGAGGGCTTCTCAAACTTTCTTCCTATTCCCATGCTAACTAAATCATAAAAATGAGAATAAAATTCATAAATTTGTAAAAAAAGGTTACCTTTAAACTTTGGAAAGTCTTTCATTGTTTCTGAAAATAAATCTACTTGTACCCTCATAATCAAAAGCTGCTGCTAAGCACTGAAAACATCAGACCTAAGGCAGCTAACCAGCTATCAAACTGAAGGAGCATGTGAATAGGTAATTTACTAACACAGCATGGCACACTGCTGAATCAATAATAAAAAAAAAATAATTAGAATTAATTTACTCTGGAGTCCTTCTAGAAAAACTAACTGCCAGTTATAATCTTGTCTTTCCCTTTTTACACTCGTAATTGCGTTGAACATCTCACTTGGTTCTCACCAGTTAAACAGCATCTGAATTCTTGAAACTGTTTTGCTAATACCTCAGACTTGCTAGGGTTGAGTTCTAGAGGTACCCTACAGGACACATGAAGGATGTGTTACTTTCCCATTTATTTTTTAAGTAAAATTCTGCTTGGGCTTTACTTGTAGCTTGCTCCAGCATTTTAAGATATACATTCTAAATCCAACCTCAGGAGTCACTTGCTTTTAAGAAGCAAAGACATAATGAGCTCTATAGATTGTGTAAAAATAAAAGGAAAAATAAGCATGATACTTTAGTCTGACATCTGCTAAATTCTAGGGCAGAGCAGTAGCAGGAATACATATCTAATGTTTCTGCAGCATCTTTTGTTTTTTCCTCATTTAACTGTTTACTTTTGAAAACCAAAGATCCTGAAATTTATTCAAAATTAATGTATTTACTTAGATTAATTTCTTTAATAGCTTCCACTTAGGTGATTGAATTTTATTTATTGACAGAGATTGCTCATTAGACACAAATATTTCAATTTAAAATGAAAACTATAGCAGCTATTTTGAATTTAGCGCCACGAGTCATATAACTTTTTTCCTTCTCCATAATGACATAAAAATAACTCTAAGAATGCACCATATGACGTAAAATACTGTAAATATTTTAAATTCAGCCTCTTGAAATATTTTCCAATTTCCACTTAGTAGTAATTGCTGCTATGACCATTCCCATCAGAGTATTTGCCTAATGGAATATTTTTGAAAGTGAATCCTAAAGGGGAACTATAACAATGAAAGCAAACATGTTATAAAATACGAAGTTTTTTCTGAAAACACTTGGCATTTGTCTATTTATTGCTCTATTCTATACTCTTTAAAATTTGCATTTAAATGTACGTGAGGCTTTATAATACACAAATGAGCAAAAATCCTCAGACAAAAATTAAATTGATGTTATTTAATTAAATAATAGCATTTAATCTTGTTGAAAATTCAGAACTGAGGGCTATTTATAGCAATACATGAGTATCTCAGCAGTTTTAAAGAACTGAATTACACCGTGCATTTCACTGTCAGTCTCGATCTTCATTCAGGTTTAGATAAGAATGCAACCACTATCGAAATGAAGTAATTTTACCTCATCACCTTTCTCTCCAGCAAGCCCAGGAAACCCACGTTCACCTTTGCTTCCCTATGAAAATGTAACAGATATTTTCAATTAGCAAACAATGAATTTCATGCTTTGTAGGGCATTTTATGACCCACATTTAACATATGAAGCCCTTAAAACAATAGTGCTTAAAACAGAAAAAAATGCTCAATACTGCCTGAAAGCTTTAAAATATGCCTCCCATCAAGGTGAAAGGAAATGCATGATTTATTCCCTAGTAGGCAAACTAGCCAAGAGCAGACATCTAATTAATAGCAAAGAACTTAAATGCTTGTCAAAACAGAGAACTACACTTCCACGAAACTAGACTCAACTACAGGAGGTATCTATATGCCAAACCACGTGGCATTTGACCTGATTACAGTGAAGAAGAATTTTGATTGGCATCAATGAAACTTCAAGTCCCAGAAAAGCAGCTGTGCTACTCCCATTGGAATATGGGGCAAAGGCACAGGGTGGTCCAGATGTTGCACACTTGACACGGGAGGCTTCCTTCTTCACCGCAGGATTCTTGCTTGCCTGACTCACCTAAAATAAGCCTGTAGATGGCAATGCACTAATGGACAGTCAAATCTGAGCAAGCTTTAATGGATGGAAGACACAGTAAAGCTATCCTGGTGTGGGACTCCATTCAGGCTTTTTGCTCACTTTCCTGAAAGGAAACGTGAAGTGACACAGGAAGAGGGCTGAACTGTAAAAATAGTTTGAACCTTCAGGCTGCTCAGATGCTACAGGGACAGGAGTCAGACAAAAAAGTCAAGGCTGTCAGGGGCAAGAGTCTGGCCTTTTATCAACTAACAAAGCAATATAAAACATTCTTTAAAACTTACCTTTGGCCCTTCTCTACCAGGGATGCCTGGAGGACCTCTTGTGCCAGGATCGCCCTGACGAACACACAGAAAGCAAAGTGACAACCATTTTTGTGACACAGGCAGAAGGCCTGGCAGACTGCTTCCTTCCTGCCTTACTGACCATCCCATCATTATATCCCAAAGCTTTCTCTTCAGTCCCTTATCTCTTCTACACTATATACTTGTTCAGATAATCCTTCATTTCCCTCCGCATCTCTTACACACTCTACTCAATTAACAAATTTTTAGCTTCATTTTGAGAGGACTCATAAATGACTTTGATTTAAATAGTCCCAGACATGCCTGTGTTTGCTCTGTGAAAAGCAATCTGCTCCATTTTAAGGATCAGGTAGGATAAGGATACTTGTTACTCTCACCAGCTTTAAATATATAGTTACTTTAACGTAAATGATACCTTCTTTTTTTAAGAGAAGCATTTTGCAGCTAATCTTACAGAGGTGCTAACCACAAATCACAGAGTAATGAAGAATGAAGCATAAGGAATTGCTAAGTGGGAGTACTGACGAAAACATAGAAAAGCACTCACAGAAGAAAGACAATACAATTACAAACAGAAAGAATCAGGGGTAAAAATGAAAGACATACCTAAAAGAAATCAAATTTGTGAACGAGAAGGTCAATAAAACCTAAGTACATGTATTAATAAAGGATGGTAGAATAGGATAATTGCTCTTGTAGGAAATGATGTGTGCTTTTCATATTGAAATCCTCCCGAGCACACTTTTCATTTGGGAATACTGCAGATCAATTCAGATTTTATTATTTTCTAAGTAATACCTTAGAAATTCTGAACTATTTTCCCCACTTGGCATATTACCAATATTAATGCTACAAAGTAAAGCCAAGAATGGGGTATACTTGTAGCAATTCATACTATGGACTGGATGTACTGAACAGGCACCTACTGGTTACATACCTCATACCTACACTACATGGCCTCATGTACCATTCAAATGCTATTTTGTGAAATTCCTATAAAATAAATTTCTTGAGTATTTTTTAAAAACAAAACAAAAATCAATAAACCCTAAAAATTAATTTAGGCTAGGTCAGTAGGTCAAAACTGAACATACTCAAACTTTCAAGTGCGTAATTCGGTTTAAAAAGCATGCTTATAGTAAACAAAGACACTTATTTATATCTGAAAATGTTTACCTTCAGTATAGCACCCATGTCTCCCACAAGTGGCAGTGCAATCTGAAATTAAAAAGGGCAGCTGAAGTTCATGTTGTATAGAACGTTACCAATTCTGATGGGTCCCCATTGCTTCTCAAGTTTATACTGTTATACACATAGCTGATTACATATGTATTGGTTGAAGCTTTTTTAATGCAAACTAAAAAGAAAAATGAAGGTTTCAAATACAGTTAAATATTGCTGTCTATCCAACCCAACAATGTAATTCTTCATTACAACTTCAAAGAACTTTATTCAAGTTCCTTAAAGCGTGACTACAGCGCAACTCCAGCATGCAGTAAATTTCATTTAAAAGTAATATTAATATATTATTATGTAGCATACCAGCAACAATTTACCACTACTGGAAATCCTCACAGACTATCCTCACCTGATTATCTTCAATTGTTTTAATTCTCCTTTCTCCTAGACTTTGACTCTACTGTGAACTGTAGCATGAAACGGGGAGATGCCAAAGCTAACTTCAATAAACTAGCTCAGATACTGGCAATAATCCAGCTACAGCAACATATGTAGCATTCTGTACTGCCTTTAAACACTGAGTGCAACACTCTATGGTGCCATTGCTAAATTGCTACCAATATTAAGATAACCTATGTGAAGCTCAATCAACAGATTTACACTGTACTGCAATATATTTTGGATTTCCAAGAACTGCCATTGAACTTATATTTAAAGACTTCATGTAAAACCTGATTGTACTGGGTATCAGCTTCTCTCACAAACGGACTCTTCAGTTACCAATGTTTGTTTCTTCTTGCAAACTCTAAAGCAAAAATAGCCCTGGGCATACTATAAAATTAGACACAGTCAAAATTTGTTAATGGTTCAGTCTGTTTCAATCATTTCCATCTTGAAGAACAAAATAAAAAGTGAGCACTTTTGTAGCAAATTATAACAACTTGTTGGATTGTCATTTGGTAGCAATGGGTATCAAATACAAGCTCAGGAGAAACACTGCTAAACACGCTTAACCATAAGTGTAATCAGTTCACCATTTACAGGTAGCATCGGCACCTTTGAAAGTATCCTGAGAAGTTTTCTAGGGTGAGACAGCCACCTAATACAACTTACGGACATAACTATGTAAAGGTATGAAGTCCATCCTCTGCATAAAGGTAAACTGTACAGAGACAGTGTCACCTGCTCTTAAAAACCTGTAACAAGGCTTAAAAATAACAACATCATCTCTATATGGCCTGACTTTTCCCTCTTCTCCTTGTGATAACAATTTTACAGATAGGCAGACTATTACTATGTCACCTGTTGGTCTTTCTGCTGGACTACAAAATGTTTCCCCAGTCTCTCCTTATTTCCAACATTCTTATTTTAGCTGCAATACCATTTCATGGTACAGACCCCCAAACCCTCAGTGTGAAAGGGCCCTAACATCCAGCTGCAAGGGCACACCAGCTATGAGAGCAAGCCTATTATGTTTGTGCCATACAGTTCATCTGCTCTGTATGTTCAGCAAGTCCAGCCTAACTGCACACGTACTGTAGATTCATAGTTGCATTTGCTGAACTGAATAACAGCATACATCACAGAATACATAAAAATATTGTATTTAATTTAATAATATTAAAAAATGAATTAAAGACATTTTAGATGCAGCATGAAGATCTAGGGTAATTATGTATTCTCTGATATATGCTGGCCTTCTGAAAGTGTTAAAATGGCATTAATTCTCTGGCTCACTCTTGCAGGCTACATCTTTCTTTAAAAACCTCTCCAAAGACAACAGAATTTCAAGAGAGCAAAAGGCAATAATTCTCCTGTTAGTAGACCTGCCTGTTTAACAGTAGCATCCGATTATTCACTTACATTTAGTTTACAGTGCACTGTGTCTTCCAAAGCTGTCCTACTTAAAGGTTTTTGGTTTTTCTTATCAAGCACTTTATGCTCATCTTCTCAAGTTTAATCTTGTTGACTTCAAACTGTCACTGAATTTTAAGTTTTGACTGTACCCTCAAAAAGCTAAGTCTTTCCCAGTCCAATTGCAGATTTTGTATCTACTTACCCTAATCAAATCAAATCACTGCCAAGAACTAGGCATGGGAGAGATCTCTCTTTCCAAAATTGACAGTAACCTGGTGATAGACACTCTCACATCTATATTTTTTGATAAGCATTAACTATATGGCAATTACTTCAATAGCACTTTTTGCTTGCTTATCAAAATATCATGAGGACAGTCTAAAAGCTTTATTGAGGACAAGGTATATAACATGACTGTTTCCCTCTCTTTCCCAAGAAAGTCAATCTTCCTATGACAGAAATCTGACAATCCATGACTGGTTCTTAACAAAATTATGCCGTCTTGTGTTTCCACTTTAAAATTCATATCATGGATACTTAAAACATTTCATATCTTTCTTTCATCAACCTCTTTTTTTTCAGCTGGCCTGTTATACTCTGGTTTCTCTTCTATTCATTTTTTATGAAGATACATTTTCTGTTAGCATCTCTCCCTTCCTCAAAATCTTTCTCAAAGTACTCAAAAGTAAATGCTAATCATTAGGCGACTGCTTTGGTTCATTCTTTGGGTGAATCACACCAGATCTTCATGCTGTATCTACAATGTCTTTAACTAATTCTTTTTATTATTATTAAATTAAATAAAAATAATTTTCAGAGCTACTGAATTACTCAACTTCTCCACACATTCTATAATTTGATCTACATGATTACTAAGTAATAGACTTTACTGGTCTTTCAAATAATTATATTCATGGTGCCTTTTTCTTCTTGTTTTTATATGTGTTCCTTATTGAAGCTCATTTTATATTTCAATCTTTGTGACTCTCCAACTTGAGTTCTATCTTCATACTCAAGGTGAGTGATTCAGTACCTGCTTTTAGATACTGAATTCAGGCCTCTGAGGAACTACTGATACTCTTAAGCGTTTTTTTAAACATCGGGCCAGAATTTACTTGGTGTTTGTTTTCAAACCCAACCACTTAACTTTCATAAGTGTTAATGGGAATTTGTTGCATTAGAGACTAAATATTCTCAGAATGTCTTTAAAAATTAATGTCTTCTTTCTGTGGCATAGCAAAATTAGCTTTGGAATCCCAAATTTTCCTCTTCAATGTTTTAACAGGAATTATCAAAGTATGCTGCTGAAAATTTGCATTATGCGGAAATGCTTCTGAGACTGAGGAATATTATGCCAAGTTACAGCCTGGCGGAAACTCTAGTATACAAACCGTAACACCTGAAAACAAGGTGTTTATCCTGTATACGTTAACAGAAGTTTAATTTACATTGCAGTATAATCAAGTGAAAAAAAACCCCAAAATAAAACGCGGACAAAAAAAAAAACAAGCCCCAAAGGATTTAATTATTTTAAAATCAAATTTATTTTAAACAATTGAATGCTTAGACTTGCTAGGTTATCTCACCTCTTTAAATTTAAAGTATTTGCACAAAAGCTTATGCATAAGCTCTCTATGTATACGTACAGGATCACCTGGAGGGCCTGGTAGTCCTGGCTTTCCATCTCGTCCTGGAGCACCCTAGAAACAAATGTAAGATTTGGTGGCCTTAAAGCATCGATGAGGGACACATTACTTTTTGCAGTATATATAAAGAACAGTCACTTACATTCATACCAGGGGTACCTGGAGTTCCTGGTAATCCTGGGGGTCCCCTAGGGCCCTAAGATCAGGAAAGATCATTTAAGGTTTAAGAATACTTTTCTTTTATTCTAAACTTCTTAAACATTAATTTTTAATAAAGAAAAAAGTTATATCCTACCTGCACACCTGCTGATCCAGCTGGACCTACAGGACCCTGCAAGAAAACTCCAAATAATCAATAGTTACACTTTTTCAGATAAGGGAGATTAACATCATTTAAAAAAAAAAAATACTGAATGTGGGAAATTGGTTCACATTGCGAGGAAGATCTGCTCTAAGGTTTGGCTTTAAATCCAAATCTAATTTTGCCACAATTAGAGAATTCGAGATTTTGCTGAGGCCCATTTTTAAGGGCAAGTAACGTTGAAGAATTTTGATCTGTGGTGAAACTTGCTATTTAGCTAGGAGCTTTGTAAGATAAGATGATATTCAGCTGAATAATAATAATTAAAAAGATTGTTTGAATACAAATGGGTAATTTTAAAAATTCAGATTTGAAATTATTTTAACTGAATAATTTTTAAGGTTACTATGTTACTTAATCTATGTGAGATTAAGATCTCATTGTGAATCTCTAGTCAGCTTTCTCAAACATCTTCTCTCAGTACCTGAGTCCTGTCAATAAACTGAAATGTATCAGCTGACTATATTAGTCTGGACTGAAGAAAGATTGCCTTATTCACCACAGTAGAATTCGCATAATAGTATGTGCGATCGACCATCTAAACCATCAGTATCATCAAATTTTTTACTGAATACTCTGAAGACACTGCAGATGGCTCTACTTAAAGTGAACAGAAACAAACCTGGGAAAGAAACTGCATAACTGCAACAGTTACTCCTATACAAGTTATTTAGTATGAATGCTCTAGAAATACTGCATCAACTTTATGTTTACATTTAAATTGCACAGAAATGCAAGAAGAAAGCTGTGCAAAATCAGGACTTTACTATTTCCTGGCACAGTACCTGGCACTGTAAGGTTCTCATTTATAAGCAGTAGAACCTGATCTTGTAATTAGCAGTCATCAAAGATGCAAAAGGTAGGAGCTGATGCAAAGATCATTTCTTCCACATCTTTTCCACATCTTTTCCACATCTTTATGTCTTCCAGTACCAGCATGGATTTCAAAATGCCACTGTCTGCAACGTCAAGTATACCCCTCTCTTGTACCAGTATTCGGGATAGATTTTGCTGACAACTGCAAACAATTGTTGCTTACAAACTGACACAGTCTGAAGATGTGTCAACACCATCCCTAGAAAACTCATCTCTAAAGCAGCCAATGACTCAGTTCTCCAAGGCTTCCATTTGTCACTTAGCACTAGATCTTTCTGGGTCTGGATAAAGAGAAAAGATGCCGAGTTGGGAGTCAAGTCAATACGGAGTTCATGTCATGGATTCTTACTATGCCCTGTTTCGTTGCAGTTTCTCAGCAATGCACAGTGAGAAGTCAAAATCCTGGGTATGGGTATACTTACTGGTGATCCCTGAATGCCTATTCCAGGGGGCCCCATCTCCCCAGGTGCTCCTTGGACACCAGGTAGTCCTCTTTCTCCCTGAGAAGGGTACAAGGCTTTCAGTTACAAAAGTTCTGAAAATGTAAACTAGCATATTATCTTTTTTGTGTGTTTTTTTTTAGAAACAGAAATAATAGATTTGTTATACCTTTGGTCCCCGTGGACCTGGGTTTCCAGGAATACCAGTGGGACCCTAAAAAAATAAAAATAAAAACCGCAAGAAAAAAACCCAAATCATGTTTTGAAACCAGCTGAATTTTACTGCCAAAATCAGTCAGCCGTTATAAATAAACTATGATACATTTACATGTATCTTCCTCATTAATACCACTGTCACTAGGAGCAAGTGTGAGCCTTGTACTATTTCTAGACTATATTTCAGTGCATTTACAATACCACTGTAACATATGTTTCAATTTTGAAATTACATTTAAAAAAAAAAATCACCCAAAACCAAAACTGTTCTGATTTCTTACATTTCATACATTTCCTACATTGCACAATGAGAATTTCTTAACAGTTGTCTCTGTAAGAAATAGTCATAAAAGCCCTTTCAGATTAGCGGACTTACTGGTGTTCCAGGCAGACTTGGCCCAGGAGGCCCCACATCACCTTTTGGACCTGGATGTCCAGGCGGTCCCATAATCCCACCAGGGTCCCCCTACAAGATAAATTTGAATCTCTAATTGAAATGAGAGAATTTTGTCTAATGTAAAACCTCTAAATATTGCCAACGTTATCCTAGAAAGTACCACTAGTTTGAGAAGAAACAGAGAAAAAAAAGACACATATTTTCCTGCAAAAAGTTAGAGAAGGCATGGACCACACAATCGCTAATAGTAATGAGCATTCTCTCAGTTTTTCATGCTTGCAGTGCACCTGATCTACATTTCTTTGCCTCCAGGCTTCTAATGCACATGTCATTAATAGTGATGGCTTCAGACTTGTTCTCCAGCTGTATCTCCCTAGTGCTAAAGTCCTGGTCTTCACTGGTATTCCTGTTTACATCTCTATTTCTTACTTCAATGCATGCAGCATCTCTTGCTGGCCATCTCTACAACTCCTGCTTTACACAGGTGAACGTATGCCTTTTATTGTGCTGTCCTCTTGTCTTTCGCACACTCCTGCATCATTCTCTGTGATTCTTTCCGAATTCACTACTCAACATTTTGCAAGACATTTTTCCTATTGTTCCAGTTATTTTCTTCTGCTGCCTTTTCATCAGCTCACTTCTTCACACTATTAAGGGATTTTATCAGTTTCCCTTGTACCCACAATGTATAAATACTGTAACACATCACATAGCTCACAGTATACCTGTATACATGTTTTTCTTCCCTTTTTCTTACATCCAACAAATCACACATACCATTTTTAACTCTTGCTGATGTGACTGAATTAAAACTAAGGGATTTCTACACAGCAAAAAAAAAAAAAAAAAAGACATAAAGAGATCCCAGCCTTGGCTCACATCTGAGACCATATAGCTGCCCCAGTGCTCTGTCAAGATGAGTATGTCTGAGTCTGAAGTGGGATTTTACAGAATAGTGTGGTTAGAACACTACACTGAAAAGGCTGTTCTGTGGTTAGGACCTGAACTGATATTTCTACACTGCACAGATTTAATGTAAGAGTCCAGTGCAACGTCCTTGAAATATTACTTAAATTGTGAATCTGAAGAGCAACTGGGTTGCCAAACTGGCCTGCAGCATCTCTGAGTAGCAGAGAGGGGGTTGCTACTTGACATTTTAAAATCAATTCATAAAGCAGCCACATAGATGCACTACAGAAAGATGGCAAGTTACTTCAGAGACAGTCTAATATGCTCCTGCATATCAAGCTTAATAAAAGGCACATAGAACATACCTTGTCTCCTTTAACACCTGGGTTTCCCGGTACCCCGTGCTCTCCTGGTAAGCCCTGGAATTAATAAAAATATGACTCTACATTTTTATAGCTATTCCCTTAAAGATTATCTATAATTACAAATGGAAATGAGCTTACATTAGATTATTTACTGTGCATTAGGACCGCCCCAAAATGTTAAAAAGCAGAAGTTAATGAATGCTTCTTTAATCAAATACACTTATCATCTTTCTTTAAGTTGAATAATCAAGATTATTTTCTGGACCCTATCAGGACAGAATGGAAGGAGACTGACACATTTATTTCTTCAATTTAAAAATAATTCCAAGCCTTGAAAATAAGTAATTTTTTTTTAAGGAAGGTCATAGCAGGGACAAGCTTGAGATTTAAATAAGTGTGTCATCCTTTTTGCCTATGAAGAGCTGCATGATTCTCTTCAGTAGTTATTCAAATTTGTATCTTAAAATTCTCAATGAATTTCTGCTCCACAGGACTTAATCCACCAAATTCCTTTTCAGCAAAATAAAAATATTCAATCCTTTCTTTTGCCAAAATCTTTAGGTTTTCACATGTTGCTTTTAACTTTAGTATTTTCAGGACGGATTTGTTATAAATGCAGAGAAGTGAAATAGATTAAAATCTAAATAGAAGCTATTTAAATAATAGAGAAGGCTAAATTGTGTTCTCTTACTACAGTATAACAAATACAGAAAACGTTTTCCATAACCCATCAATGCTATTCCACCAAGTGTTATATCAAGCATTTTATTAAGAATACTATTTATTTCCACAGTAAATGAGAAAATTGCCAAAACTGAACAGTAAAATCTGATACTTAATCCAGAATGGAAAATGAACTTCATTTTGTGAACACTGACATATGAAGGATGACAACATTTTCATGCCAGTAGTGAAGG